ACTGCTAAATTAGGGACGGCTAGCGCAGATAGCCCTCGTGTAGCTTTGCGCAAAATTCAAAACAAACAAAGAAACTTAGCTGAAGATGACTCCTACCATGCCAAAATAGATATTTTTGTCGCCTAGTCCTACTATTCTGATTGTTAAGTATGAAAAAAGATGATGCATCAACACCATCAATTCCCCTAACAATCTTAAACACTTCAATGAGATCCCCTCTAACTCTTCTTTTTTCAAAATAAAACAATTTCAGAAATCTTAACCTCTCCTCATATGACAACCTCTCCATCCCAGGCACCATTCTTGTAACCTTTCTCTGAACCCTTTTGAACAATTCAGTGTCTTTTCTAAGGTAAAGTGCCCAAGATTGAACATAATATTTCAAATGTAGCCTAACCAGTGACTTGTACAATGAAATTATAACCTCTTTAGACTTGTATTCAATATTTCTGTAGATACTACCTAAAATCCCATTTGCCCTACCACTAGCAACAGCATACTGCTTAGATGGCTTTTGAGGCTGATCATCTATCACACCTAGATCCCTTTCTTTCATGATGCTGTTAAGGTTACTCTCATCCAAATTATATTTATAATTCAAATTATGATAAACCACATGCATTATTTTGTATTTATTATAATTGAAATCCATTTGCCATTTATTTGCCAAACTCACTAAATTATTTAAATCCTTTTGTAAATCAGCAGCATCCTCCTTACAGCGAGCAACATCGAAGACACTAATATAATCAAGAAAATTTAAGTAATTTATTGACCATTCCATTATATATGTGTCATTGATGTAAATCAAAAAGAGCAAAGATCCTAAGACTGAGCCCTGAGGTACCTCACTTGTGACATTAATCCACTTTGACTGAACTCCATTTATAACAACCCTATTGTTCCTTCCATTCAGCCACTCTTCTATCCAATTAACTAACCTATCTCCCAAACCTATAGAGATAATTTTTACAGGCCTTTTATGTGGCATCTTGTCAAATGCTTTTTGTAAATCCAGATATACCAAATCTATACTCTTATCCTCACCTACATAAGCAGTAACCTGTTCAAAGAATGTCAAAAGATGTGTAAAGCAAGATTTTCCCTTAGTGAAACCATGTTGGCTATACAATAACATTATAAACTTTATTAAATGACTTTACAAAGCATTTTTTATCAGACTTTCCAGAACTTTTCCCACAATTGATGTAAGACTTATAGGCTTATAGTTACTGGGACAATTTTTATCACCTTTCTTGAAAACAACGAATAACATTAACCAACTTCCAATCCTCTGGCACCTTCCTATTATTCAAGGACTTATAGAAAACAGTAGCACGTGGCTCACATATCTAATCCTTATCCTCCTTCAAAACCCTTGGGGAAATATTATCTGGCCCAGGAGCCTTATATTATTCTTTAAACTTACCAATTTTTCTTAACAAGATAAGAACTAACGTGATCATCTTGTTCGATCTTGTTTCCATCTATCAACTGTTCAAGATGAGGAATATTGCTTAAATTTTCATTAGTAAAAACTGAATAAAAAAAAACAGAATTTAATAACCCATCCATCTAATAATGATCAGATATGAGCCTTCATCATCCCTCAAAACTCTTACCCCATCCAAACATTTTTTTTACCCTTAATGTATTTAAAGTAATCCTTTCTGTCAATTTCTACATTTTCAACCAATCGTTTTTCATACATCCTTTTTGATGTCCTAATTTCATATTTGACAAACTTCCTTGATATTCTATGATCTTCTAAATCTTCCATCAAACCAGTCAATTTAAATTTCTTAAACTTGAGATGTTTTTTCATATTTTAGCCCTTTTACCCTTTTTGAACCAACCTTGATATTTATTTGCAGCCACCTATTACTATCTATAAGGAATATGTTTATCTTGAATATTTAAAAATTTTCCACATTTGATTAGTGTCTCCAAATAACTCAGCTGCCCAATTCACAACAGATAATTCTTGTCACATCCCTTCAAAATTTGCTTTTTTAACATTTGTAACCATAATATCATTATTCCTGATCTTCATATGTAGCAAAATATCGAACCTAATAAAGCAATGGTCAATTGTACCCAGATGTTTCCCAGTTTCCACTCTCTGAACCATTTTTATATTAGAAGTTAATAATAAATCTAAAATATCATTGTTTCTAGTAGTTTCCTTGACCAATTGGTGAAGAAAACCATTTTAAACAGTTTCCAAAAACCTTTCTCTCTCATAGTTTGACTGTAACAGTAGAACCTCAATTAAGAGGCACCTTGAAACAATGGGCAGACCTTTTCAGTCTCTTTCCTTTTTCTATTATTTGTAACGGAAATAAATCTTGCACTAACGTACACCTCAGTGTTCTGGATTAAAAGCAGTGTCTTTAGTCTCATTCTCTATAAAACTTTATTAAATAACTGTACTATTACTCAAAACACTGTAAGTACTCAAAATCTTTATTTTTGAAGTATTTTTATTTATTCTTTTATGTTTTAATAAAAATAACTAAATTTTAAGCATTTATGAATAAAGAGTATTTAGTGGATGATGAATAAGTTTGCTGAAAGGGAAACAGGATTTTATGACTACATGCACAAATATCTTTGTATGCCTGTATGGTATACATGTATATATATATATATATATATATATATATACTACTAAATTCCAAACATCCCAGAAGGATGACCAATATTCAAACACTTGCAATGTTTATTGGATCGGCTCTGAACCATATACTGTAGTAAACGTTTTCACAGATTCAAAGTGCAATCTTATTACTCTGAGGAATTCTTGCAGTAAACACTGTAGGATACATAAGCTGATAAATTCCACATCGTGTTTTTGGAGCAGGAGTCAAGTCAGCTTATTTCTGTGCACATGCTTTGTTGCTCTCGAGAGTATCATATTAAAACAATTTGCACTTGGGTGAGGTTTGTCAGACATTTTCATGACTCATGAGGGTCAATTGCAACATCATCAGTGTAAATATGACAAACAATCATCTAATAAAGATGTTTTTACAAAGTAAACACATAACTAATGATGGAAAGAATAAGAGTATAAGTTTATTATACATGTACATATTTGTGCTAATGACCCAATGTGTGTGATGTACAAATGCATGGTAACTTTTTACATGTACATTTATTTTCATACCTATGGAATAGAAATAAATTTAAAAAACATATTTCTTTGCTCCATTTATTTAATATTTTCACAGTATACACAAAAATGCTGCTTACATACATGTAACAAAATGGCTTTAAATGCATACACCAAACAAAATGGGGGACCTTAAAATTTAGAAACTTAGTACAGTCAATATGGGATCCAGTTTAGCATGGCTCATTTTTGATATTAAGGGCACCTTGGTATAGAGGGCATTTGGATGCAGTCAGAAGGGTGCACTTAATGTTGAGGTTCTAATGTATTTAAAAATTTTCTACATTTGATCAGTGTCTCCAAATAACTCAGCTGCCCAATTCACAACACATAATTCTTGTCAATCCCTTCAGAATTTACATTTTTGAAATTTGTAACTAAAATATCATTATTCCTGATCTCCATATTCAGGAAAACATTGAATCTAATAAAGCAATGATCACTTTTTTCTCTCATAGTTTGACTGTAATATTTCCCAGTTTATGTGCTTAGAATTAAAGTCACTTATAATTACAATCTCATTAACAGCTGAAATCTTAACCTCACTGTAAAAGTTTCTCATTAATTTCATCAGTATTTTCTAATGGTCTGCAACAAATTCCCACTGAAAGCCTTTTCTCTTTATATCTGTTAATATAAACCCAAATGGATTCAATATCCTTGCTATTATCTTTGATATCCTCAACTTCAACAGGATGTAACTCACATTTTACATATAAAGCCACTCCTCCCCCTCTCTTTAGTACTCTATCCCTATTAAATAACCTATAACCCTGTATTTCAAAAAAATTTCTGTCATCAAAATTGTTTATATTTAACCATGTTTCAGTTATTCCCATTAAATCAGATTCTTCTATTCCTACCAGTGCTCTAAAGTCATTTATTTTATTTCTTATACTTCTAGCATTAGAATAGTAACAATTAAGCCTACCCTTAGAACTACTTCTATACCCATTTCCTATGCTAAACTTTTCTCTACATCTTATTTTTTTTGCACTTAGTTTATTCTGGCCCTCGATTACCACTGTCTAGTCCTAGTTTAAAACTTCCTTTACAGCTGAGTTAATAGCCCTTGCAAACAAGCCAGCCCCTACCCTATTTAAATGTAAATCACCCATTCCAAAAAGCTTCCTTCTCCCATTAAACTGATCTCACAAGTCCAACCAGCCAATCTACTCATCCTTAAATATTGTTATGTCTCCGTTTGTTAATTAGTTTTCCGTAACTTCGTTCCGACCAAACTTTAGCGACACAAGTCCTTACTTAATAAAACTGGTTTATTCTTTCCGAATATAACTTTACGATACACGTAATTTCAACATTTGCGCTAAAACAAACACTATAACGAACGAACTGTGACTGCAAATCAATTACTCACTACCTACACAATGTCCCGCCATGCTGTCACCATTCTATATATACCAGACTACCCCCCAATCTAGGAAGGTTCGAGAAAGAAGTGGCGTGACACTAGCCACGTGACCTCGCTGATGCAACAATATTAACCTAAGCCTAGTATTCAGCCCTAGTGACTTACTTATAATTTCACCCCCACAATTAATTCTCAGAAGTATTCTTATAACAATTAAGTTATGGCCCTTTTATTTAAATGTCTTTATCAACCTTTTGTACTTATCAATTAGCTCCTCTGATCTTCCTTTCTCTACATTTTTAGCCCCTACATCCACAACCAAAACTGCATGATTGTTAGTCCCCTTTATTATGTCTTTTCTCCATCAGTTATATCCTCCATCCATGCCTGTGGGTAGCATAATCTAATTATTTTCTCCCTATTTACCCAACAGACTATCCTATCCACATGACTTGTCATAGAATCACCTATAACTATAATCTAATTAAGTTTATCATTCACATCCTTCTCTCGAGATCTCTCTTTTGTTTTCCTTCCCTTGAATAGTTCCTCATCTGCACAAGCCAAAGGCTTAAATCTGTTGCTCAGTAGAACAGTTATGTAAATATATAAAGATTTTATATAGCATATCAAATTTATTTATAAATTTGCCTAAAGGGTTAGAAATAGTACTCTATAAATTTCATGAATTTCATACTTTAATCTTTAAAGAGTATTTTACTGGAACTAATTTACCAAATTTATTTAAATCCTTTTAATTTTCTCAATTTCATATATATTTCACTCCTGTTTGGAGTATACAAGTTTATGTGTATGTACACTTATTTTTGTTGAGCTTTTGATCATTTTACATTTTTCAAATATTTTTTTTATTTTATCTTCATGTGTACTAAATGTTAATTATGCATTTCTTTGGGTTACTGTTTCATTCCTTATGTTAAAAAACACAATACAATCAAAATAAAGGTTCTCACTTATTTTTGAAGGTGGTTTGATGGCTTCAACTGGGAAGGATTACGATTAAGGACACTGACACCACCTATTATACCACAGGTATGTAATAATAAATAGTTTATGTGTCAGGTTTTTTAACTCTAGAATTACTGATGTGTCTTGAATTTTAAACACATTTTTCTAAGCTACTTATGCACTAAATTGCCTACAGGTTCATGTTTTTTTATTACATGACTCACACAAAAAAAGTTTGATAAAAATATCATCATTATTGCAGTCTACCCCAAAAATTACTTCTGGGGTTTCCTATGTATTTTGCATAAAAAAATGAATGCTTTCACACAGTTTGTATATCTCACATTAAGTGTATAACAGGCAAAAATATAACATTACCCAATATGATGCGATATGTGGATTCCACTGGTAGTGAACAGTATGTAATAAATGTAGTAATTTGTGGGAAAAAAGAACCTTTTTATCATGTTCCATTGAGATAACATTTAAAATTTATGATGGTTGACTTAAGATTTTAAGGAAATATAGTAACAAAACCTCACTCCCATACTTATCTTTAGAAGTGTAACACTGAGTATAATCCCACAACTCAAATAAATCATATATTTCAAAGCTTTTAGTCAATTAATTAATAGCTTACACATGTAAGCCTTCATCTTTAAAGTGCAGTTAGCAGTATTCAAAGAAAAAAAAATCTTTTTAATGTTAGAAAATAAATACCTTTTTCTTTATTTTTTAAAATTTTTGTTCATACTTTTTAATTCAAAGTCACTGGCATAAGTTTATTGAAGTGGTTGAGCAGTTAAAAACTTTTTCAGTGTCCTCTCATTCCCTGTACAGTACTTGGTACTTAAATAACTTTGTAACATTAACATAGCATAGGAACTGAGCAACAAGGGACCATTTGGTCCTTCAAAGTTGTGTCTACACACACACTCTTGAGAAATAAATAAAAATTAAGCCCCCCCACTTTTATTTTTCAGAAAATCATTGTTTCCTTTTTTAAACTCTTGTAAGGTGCTATCTTCCATTAATGCCAGTAGCAACTCATTATATTGAGTGGGTTCCAGTCTATATCAGATGTTTAGTTTAAATTATGATAATTCAAAGGCATAATCTTGCACTTACTATAATTAAGTCATTTGCCAACTGTTTGTCCAACTTTACAATTGTTTAAAGTTATTCTGTAGACCACAACATCTTCAATACCACTGGAAATACCCACACATATGATATCTTCATCAAACTTTACTGATCTGATTATGCCTCTCTCTATATCATTAATGTGAATAAGAAAAGCAAGACCCAACACTGACCCCCTGAGGCAAACCACTAATGATAAAGGTCTAGTTGGTCTGGTTTTCACTAGTAACAACTTTTTTTGTTTTCTAACACATGTCAGCTATTTTTTGATCCAATGAACTAGTCCTCAGCCCCACCGATATAGTTTTACTAATATGTGTGAAACCTTATCAATGGCCAATGACTATGGAAGAATGCATGAAACTGGAAGGGAGCATCTCAAAATATTTCCCATAAAAGTAGACACTAACTGTCCCAGTCTTCTAACACTCAAAGCAATGTAGTTCAAAGTGCGGGTCCATTTCATGTAGTGGTTATATTACGACTTTTGGCAACTCTCTGGATGATAAAATATAGCTAAATGATGAAGAGTAAAGTTAGGTTAAAACATGTAGTTTCAACAATATATAATTTTGTTTATTTTCTTTCAGTTTAGCTGTTGGAGCTTCTGTGTTCAATAAATTTTTTTATTTGTTTAAATAATCTGTGTCCTAATGTCATGCTTGTAGTCAAGGGAGGTGATGTTTTTTAGATAGTTAGACCTCTAAGTTTGGCCATTAGTGTGTTCTTTTAAACACTCACTAAGTTTTCTGAGGGTGAAACTAACATAGGCAACTCCACATGTCGGGAAACAAAATTCATAAATAACTTTTGGGTACTGGTAGTTTTTACAAGCATTTCTTGAACCAAAAACCAGAATAATTGAATTATATAATGTTAGCAAAGCTTTTATAAGATGAATTAATCTATATGTTTTTACTTCCTGACTTCACACAGGTCCAGAATGCAGTAGATATCAGCAACTTTGACCAATATCCACACGACATGAAATGCCCAGCACCAGATGACAATTCTGGCTGGGATGTTAACTTTTAAGCAATATATCTTAAAACAAATTTTAAGAAATATATTTTTTTTTATTCAGAGGTGCTAGAAGAAAGCTAAGATCTCAACTGCTAAATCCCTATCTTCATAAGAATGTATTTTGCAGTTACATTATTGAAAATTATTTCTGGAAGTATGTAAGACTGAGAATTTCACAGTTAATTAAAATTCTAAGCAAAACTAAAATCAGTATGAAATAGTTGCTTTGAATTTTAATTCTTCATACTTTCATTTTTATCTTGGAGCAATAAAATAGTACTTAACAAAAAGAGGGTTGTTTTATATGAGATAGATCACTTGCTGTAGTACAAAAGTAAATGACTGTAGATAGATAAAAATACCTATTTCTGTCATTATGAAATAAAATTTAGATGTTGTGAAAGAACATTTTACTTGTAGTAAGTACCTTAGCAATTTTTGTTTATGACTGTTTTCAAATGTAGAATGAGGAATGATATTGTAATAGATAACAGAAGTAATGGAATAACTTTCAATAAGTGTACAATTTTCATTTAAACATTTTGAAAGTATAACTTTTTATAAACAGTTTTAACTTGTTTATTCCTAGTTGAGAATTAATATTCCTTTTTTCATGAAAATCTCTAAATATTTGACAGTTAATTCTTAAGGTTACAAATTTATTGCCGCTATTATATGTTATATAGAAAAAAGTTGTCTTTAACAATTCATTTATTATGCCATAGTATATTTAGCTTCAATTAAAACGTTTTTATTTCTTTTGTTTAAGAGATGAAGTTTTAATTGAATTTATATTATGATTGATACGGTGTTTTCAGTGATAATGATTGAATTTTCTGTAAGTTAATAATGGGATATTAATAATAATTATAATACAGAATTGATAATATGAACTAATACAAAATATAATGGTGTAATAGAATAATAATTTTTATTATGATGCTAACTTCACATAAATATAACACTTAACACAATGATCATGCAGTTAAATCTGATCTTTAAATCCTGTATTAGTAAAGTGTATCATAAATCATTGTCAGAGTTTTAAGTACATGTGTGGGCTGGGATTCTTTACAGTAGGTGTCTGTGGTTTGTTGGCCATAATTTCTAACAATAAACGGACAGCACACAATCCACTTGTTTTAAAATGATATATTCAAAACGTTTGTACAAAATTCTTTACACTATAGGATATCACAGTCGTATCTAAAGCTCTAAATAATTCTCTTTTCTTGCCAAAAGTTCACTCAGGCTGATTCAATTACTTTAGAATCCAATTGTCAAGACGAACTATTTTTCTCTACTTTTTTTCTTACTGTACAATCTGCGATAGATTCACTTACATTATTCTGTAGGTTACCACAGTTATATCTTGAAATTGAAATAATTGTATCCTTTTCGTCAAAGTCCACACAGACGGTTTCAATTAGTTTAGAACACCCTTTGACAAGACAAATTATTCTCCTTATCTTTATTAAACTGTGAAACTCACTTTAAAATATCACCTGTTATGGCTATTCACTCACACACCCACTAACTTCACATTTTCAAACTTTTTTCTGACTGAACTTTTCTTTCTATTTCACTTTTTCTCTACTTTTGCTTACTTGGTTACCTATATTTTTTTACTTTGTTCACTGAGGCCTCGAATTTTCTATAAACTACACAGGGGATGCTATATCATAACAATATTCACTTTAGGTAACAAGAAGAATACTGAAGATTCGAGTAACTTGGCATCAACAATACTACAGCAATTGAACCACACACACAATGTACGACTCTTACTGCATTACTCAACCAAACTTGTGATAACTATCACCTTCAAAATAATTACTTTTAACTCTTCTTATGAAGAGTAAATAATCATTAAATATTAAATTACCAAATAAACTAAATAATAACTCTTAAACTAAACAGTATTGTATATCGAACAATTATATTTTACAAAGATTGTGAAAAACAACAGATAAATACCACAAAACTTCTTTTTATAAACTGAATAATTAAATAAATAAGTAAAGAAGAGTACTTACTTGAGTTGTTATCCATGCAGGCTATTAATGTGCACTGTAAAATACTTAGGTGGAGCAATGTGTATCAAGATATAATTATCTATAGCATTGTTTCCTTAGCTCCAATATTTTTACAGACCTTGAAGCGATCAGAGGATATACTCTTGTGCTTAGTCCCAGTTATTTTTTAATATCCTGATAAGTTATAATATGCATTATATAAAAGGATTTTCAGTATATTTTTTGTATGATAGATGTTTGTAAATGATATCTTGATATTAAAATATCCATTTTTGGTAAATATCACTTTTAGTCTAGACTTAATTAAGTAGACTCAAGGCATATCACATCTACATTTTACCATAAAGAAATTTATAGTAATTATACTATTGTTCAGTTTGCTTTGATACAATCTTTAAAAGTCTGTGTGTTTGAAGTCTTTTATTAAGACCTTATACGAAAAACTGAGACTAAGACTAACATCCTAGGTGAAATAACTGTTGAAACATTTTGTTGTTTAGACTTTTAGTGTAATAATGATGCAATGGCTTAATTTTAGATTGGTATCTATCCCTCAACTCCTTGTGACTTTGAAATTTAGTTTATGATAGGTAACGCATAAGACATGTTACACATCATTTGTACATTTTAAAACATATATGAATCTAAACATTTAAACTATAAACTAGATTTATATTCTATTTGTTTACTTAATTTCATTTGTTCAGTTGACTTTTTTCATATATTTTTCTATTTCCTGATACTTCATAAGTAGAATGTAATCATTAGTTATCTAATCCTTGTTTCAAAAGCCATCCATTAGTGAAAGTGAGATATCCACCAAAACTACAGTCAGTTTTAATTTATGAAACAACACAGAGATCCATAACTTCCTTTCCATGGACCATAAGAAGTCTGTATATGAATTGAGGTTTTGATATTTTACTTTGAGTTATATATTTAAAAGGAATGACATCCAAAACTTTCAAAAACTGCTACATTGGTTGTAATTTATACAATATTGAACATATCATGTTGGTTTATTTACCACGATGAATTTAACAATTAATTAGACTTTGGTATAAAAACTTTTATAAATTTGATTAATTGTTCAGAATTCAGTACTTTATTCTTTTTATTTATTTATGTAACAAAATCCTAGAAAAGAAAAGGAAACAACATTTAGCAACCATCTTACAAAAACTTGTTTCAATATTTCATTGAAATTTCACTAATGTTTCATTATAATTCATTTTTCCTTTCACTCGAATTATTTGATTATGTTTACTTTACATTTAGATACTTTAAAAGATACTTCAGGAATAGTAGAATTGTATTTTTCATCATAAGTATAATTCGTTTTTAATATACAAATAAATTCAATGCTTCCTCATGCACCTTTATCTAAAGAAATATAAATTATTCATACTTACATTGATACTGTTTTCTATAAATGTTTACCTAATGTAGTTCTTAATTCTATTACCAAAAACCATTATGCTTAAGTGTATCTACTTGTCTTTTGCAGAATCCACAAAAACATGATGTGAAATTTTCATTATCATTAGATTTTGATTACAATATACAATATCTAACTTTACCCTCTGTTTAAATCTGCTACATTTTGATCAATACAACTGAAAAATGCATTTGATATCTTTTAACATATTATAACATAATGTATAAGGACAACATGGGACCTATTGGTCCATCTTGGCTGTTACATCTTCTAAACTAAACTAAAAGTATTTACAAAAAAATTTTAGAAAAATCTTAAAGCCAGCCCTTATCATTAAAATAGTTATCAAGCTTTCTCTTAAAATCTCTTAAATTTACTGCCTTCACAACATCCAAAGGCAATCCATTTCAAAGGCCAACCATCTTGTTAGAAAAATAAAACTGTCTTAGCTGAAGATGACTCCTAGTCTCCTACACTGCTAAAATTTATATTTGTGTCCCCTAGCCCTACTATTCTCACTGTTAAGTATGAAAAAAGATGATTATCAACACTATCAATTCTCTTTACAATCTTAAACACCTCAATCACATCCCCACCTAACAACTCGTTTTTTTTTCAAGAGAAAACAATTTGAAAGAATGTGAAAAGATTTGTTGTCTATCCAATAAAATTCTAAACTTTGTTAAATAACTTTGAAAAGCAACTTTTATCAGATTTTCTAAAACTTTACCCACAACTGATGTAAAACGAATGGGTCTATAATTACTGGGACAAATTTTATCATCTCCCTTGACAACCCCTCCATCCCAGGCACCATTCTAGTAAGCCTTCCCTGAATCATTTCCAACAATTCAATGTCTTTCCTAAGGTAAGGAGCCCAAGACAGAACACAATATTCTAAATGTAATATATTTTCAAAATTTTTTCAGCATATAAAATTCTAGTATATGGCATGTAAATACCATATACCTCACTCTTTACAATGCTAGAAATCGGGTTTTGATACTCATGATGGGCAGAGCACAGATAGCTCATTGTGTAGCTTTGTGCTTAATTACAAACAAATAATCTATTTTTCATATTTGCAAAATGTGTTAATTTTTTTTAAGTATGCCACTTGGAACATACTACAGTTCATGTGCCAGTTCAACTCTAGGTATTACTTTCTAAGGCAAGATTCATTCAAGGAAGCTGTTTACTGTTTAATGAGATAGTGACCTGAATTACCTTGTGTGTATAGAACTACTCCATAACTGTCACACATAGCAGAAATATATTTAAACATTCCTTATTCGATTTTCTGATTGGTCAGCTACAGAGAAAATCGGAATTGTCAAGACAGTTTTGACATTTTCAGCCACATTTGTTTTTGTTTTGAGAAAGTTGGGACTTGCTGTAAAATCACATCTGTGGTTCAATTTTTTTATTAAACAGCCAAATAATGTTTGTTCAACTTAATTCCAAGTAAAGTTTATTTTTCATTTTCTATTATTTAAATACTGTTTTCCTCCCTTCACTTTTAATTTTAATACAATTCATTTTATTTTTTAACTCTAATCATAACACAATAGTTTCACAGTGATGTACCAAATGATCAACCAACTTGTAATTTATTCATTTATTTTCATCTTTAATAAAGTCTTCACACCATGCTTCATATTTCATTCCACCAACTACAAATCAATACATCAGTCCTTCGAGTCTTATCTCCTTCATTCCACCTATAACAAATCGCTACACCTATCCTTCCATTTTTGTTTCTTTCATTCCACTTACAACACACCACTACATATATTCTTCCAGTCTTGTCTCTTTCATTCCACCTACAGCAAATCACTACACCTATCCTTCCAGTCTTGTCTCTTTCATTCCACCTATAACAAATCACTACACCTATCCTTCCAGCTTTGTCTCTTTCATTCCACTTACAACACACCACTACATATATTCTTCCAGTCTTGTCTCTTTCATTCCATCTATAACACATCACTACACCTATCCTTTCAGCTTTGTCTCTTTCATTCCATCTATAACACATCACTACACCTATCCTTCCAGATTGTTTTTTTATTCCACTTACAA